GAACTCCCAACCTCAGGTGGTCCGCCCGCCTTGGCCTCCAAAGTGCTTGGATTACAGGCATGAGCCACCACAGCCGGCTTTTTTTTTCGTTTGAGATGGAGTCTTGCTTTGTTGCCCAGGCTGGAGTACAATGACCCAATCTCGGCTCACTGCAATCTCTGCCTCCCAGGTTCAAGCAATTCCCCTGCCTCAACCTCCCAAGTAGCTGGGATTACAGGCGCCCACCACCATGCCCAGCTAATTTTCGTATTTTTAGTAGAGATGGGGTTTCAGCATATTGGCCAGGCTGGTCTCAAACTGCTGACCTCATGATCCACCTGCCTTGACCTCCCAAAGTGCTGGGATTACAGGCCTGAGCCACCACCCCTGGCGGGTTTTTTTTTTTTTTTTTTTGAGTCTCGCTCTGTTGCCCAGGCTGTAGTGCAGTGGCACGATCTCAGCTCACTGCGTTCCACCTCCTGGGTTCAAGCAATTCTCTGCCTCAGCTTCCCGAGTAGCTGGGATTACAGGCGCCCACCACCTAACCGGCTAATTTTTTGGTATTTTTAGTAGAGATGGGGTTTCACCATGTCGGCCAGGCTGGTCTTGAACTCTTGACCTGGTGATCCACCCACCTTGACCTCCCAAAGTTCTGGGATTACAGGCGTGAGCCACTGCGCCTGGCAAGACAGTCTTGCTCTGGGTGTCCCAGGCTGGAGTGTAGTGGTGCAGTCTTGACTCACTGCAACCTGCACCTCATGGGTTCAAGAGATTCTCATACCTCAGCCTCCCAAGTAGCTGGGACTACACTCAGGCACCAACATGCCTGGCTGATTTTATTTTTTTAATTTTTAGTAGAGATGGGGGGGGGGTCTTGCCAGGCTGGTCTTGAACTCCTGACCTCAAGTGATCTGCCCACCTTGGCCTCCCAAAATGCTGAGATTACAGGCATGAGCCACCATGTCCAACCAGAAACCTCTCTTTTAAAAACCTAAATCAATACTTTGTAAAACTGTGGTAAAGGTTACATAACAAGAAACTGACCGTTTTAATCATCATTCAGTGCACAGTTCAGTGGCATTAAGCACATTCATGTGTCTGTGCAACCGTCACCACCACCCTCTCCAGAACTTTCTCATCTTCCCAAACTGAGACTCTGCAAGAAACACTTACTCCCTATCCCCTCCCCAGCCCCTGGTACCCCCCCTCCATTTAACTTCCTGTCTCGGTGACTCTGAGGACTTTAGGGACCTCCTAGGAGTGGGATCATGCAGGGTTTGTCCTTTTGCATCTGGCTTATTTCACTGAGCTTGATGTCCTTAAAGTTTATTCACATTGTCGCCTGTATTGGAATTTTCTTCCTTTTTTACGGCTGAATAATATTCCATGGTACAGAGGAACCTCACACATTGCGTTTATCCATTCATGTATTAATTAAAAATCTAAATCAATTCCTTTAGAAAAAATATTTTTAGGCCAGGCGCAGTGGCTCATGCATGTAATCTCAGTACTTTGGGAGGCCGAGGCAGGCAGATCACAAGGTCAGGAGTTCGAGACCACCCTGGCCAACATGGTGAAACCCCCGTCTCTACTAAAAACACAAAAATTAGCTGAGCGTGGTGGTGGGCACCTGTATTGTCAGCTGCTTGGGAGGCTGAAGCAGGATAATTGTTTGAACCAGGGAGGCGAAGGTTGCAGTGAGCTGAGATCGTACCATTGCACTCCAGCCTGGGCAACAGGGTGAGACTCTGTCTCAAAAAAAAAAAAAAGATTTTTAGGCCAGGCACAGTGGCTCACACATGTAATCCTAGCACTCTGGGAGGCTGAGGTGAAAGGATTGCTTGAGCCCAGGAATTTGAGACCAGCCTGGGAGACATAGCGGGGCCTGGTCTTCAAAAAATGGAAAAAATTTGCCAGGCCTGTAGTCCCAGCTACTTGGGAGGGTGAGGTGTGAGGATCACTTGAACCCAGGAGGTTGAGGCTGCAGTGGCCTGTGTTTGCATCACTGTACTCCAGCCTGGCAACAGTGAGACGCTGTATAAATGAATGAATGAATGATTGTGAATTAGAATAATTATAAACTTGCAGGAGCCTGCAATAATAGTATGCAACGATCCCAGGTAACCTTCACCCAGTTTCTCCCAGTGCTATATCTTATATAACTATATAGTTTCACAACCAGAAAAAGGCCATGAATATAATCTAGAGACCATATTCTGATTTCAACAGCTTTTCACTTGCATTTGAGTGTTAGGCAATTTTCTTTTCATTTTTTCAGAAAAATTAGAGCAAATCTATTTAATAGTGTCACATGTATAGACTTGTGCAACCAGCACCACAGTTGTAAAACTGAAGTGAACTTATTTTCGCCAGCGCATGGTAGCTCATACCTGTAATCCCAGCAATTTGGGAGGCTAAGGTGTTTGACACTGGTAAACTAGGATTGCACCACTGCACTCCAACCTAGGCAACGGAGCAAGACTCCATTTCTCTCTCGCTCGCTCGCTCTTGCTCTCTATTTATTTATTTTTTGAGACAGAGTCTTGCTCTGTTGCCCAGGCTGGAGTACAGTGATGTGATCTTGGCTCACTACAACCTCCGCCTCCCAAGTTCAAGTGATTCTCTACCCTCAGCCTCCCAAGTAGCTGGGACTACAGGCACATGCCACCACACCCAGCAGATTTTTATATTTTTAGTAGAGATGGAGTTTCACCATGTCGGCCAGTCTGGTCTTGATCTCTTGACCTCATGATCTGCCCTCCTCAACCTCACAAAGTGCTGGGATTACAGGCATGAGCCACCACATCTGCCTGTATATATTTTTTATATATATAAAATATATATTAAAACATATATTTTATACATATGTATAAAATAATATATCTTTTTTAAGTTTTATTTTATTTTTATTAATTTTTTTGAGATAGTTTTACTCTTTTTGCCCAGGCTAGAGTGCAATGGTGGAATTACAAGCATGAGCCACTGCACTGGGCTAAGAAATTATCTTAAAAAGGAAACTTTGTAACCCCACTGTGCATGGAGAGTAGATATGGCCTACCATGAAGAGGAGCTTATTAAAAAACGAACACAATGTAACCAAAGAATGTCAGTCAATTCTGACTGAGTACTGTGGGTTAAGGAAGGGCTTTTCTTTTCCTGTTTCTCAAAGTCATTAACTGTCAAGAGACATAGAGCGTATTAGCACCGACTGAGCCTCTCTCCTCTAAGTACTGGAAATTGAAAAAGTAGATGACTTTCACACAGCTCAGTGATTTATTTTATTTTATTTTTATTTTTATTTATTTATTTATTTTTGAGACGGAGTTTCACTCTTGTTACCCAGGCTGGAGTTCAATGGCGCGATCTCGGCTCACCGCAACCTCCGCCTCCTGGGTTCAGGCAATTCTCCTGCTTCAGCCTCCTGAGTAGCTGGGATTATAGGCACGCGCCACCATGCCCAGCTAATTTTTTGTGTTTTTAGTAGAGACGGGGTTTCACCATGTTGACCAGGATGGTCTTGATCTCTTGACCTCGTGATCCACCCGCCTCAGCCTCCCAGTTAAGTGATTTTTCTTTTTTTTATTTTGAGAAGGAATCTCACTCGGTCACCCAGGCTGGAGTGCAGTGGCACAATCTTGGCTCACTGCAACCTTCGCTTTCTGGGTTCAAGCGATTCTCCTGCCTCAGCCTCCCGAGTAGCTGGGACTACAGGCACGTGCCACCATGGTCGGCTAATTTTTTGTGTTTTTAGTGGAGACCAGGTTTCACCGTGTTAGCCAGGATAATCTCGCTTTTCTGAACCTGTGATCTGCCCACCTCAGCCTTCCGAAGTGCTGGGATTACAGGTGTGAGCCACCGCGCCCGGCCCACAATTTATCTTTCTATGAAAACACTGTGTCAGCTAACAGTCTTCACAACAGGTCTGAGAGGGCAGTACCATGATTATTTTCACTGCCTTACAGGTAAGGAAACTGAGGCACCAGAGGTGATGTGGCTTGCCTGTCTCTATCACTTCCTAATTGCGTGACCTGTGGTTAAGTTCCTTAACCTCGGCCGGCGCGGTGGCTCACGCCTGTAATCCCAGCACTTTGGGAGGCTGAGGCGGGTGGATCACGAGGTCAAGAGATCGAGACCACCCTGGTCAACAAGGTGAAACCATCTCTACTAAAAATACAAAAATTAGCTGGGCATGGTGGCGCACGCCTGTAGTCCCAGCTACTCGGGAGGCTGAGGCAGGAGAATTGCCTGAACCCAGGAGGCGGAGGTTGCAGTGAGCCGAGATCGCGCCATTGCACTCCAGTCTGGGTAACGAGAGCAAAACTCCAACTCAAAAAAAAAAAAAAAAAAAAAGAAAACCCATTACGATTCATTGAGCATTACCATTCATTGAGAGCTTACTCTGACATAGGCAGTGGGCTAAGCCTTTGACGGGCTTTGTCTCTGTGTGCCTATTTTACGGCTGGCTCTGTCACCATCCTCTCCAAATCAAAGGTGAGCAAACAGAGGATCAGAGAGGTAAATTCACTCGCCCAAGGTCACACAGCTTAGAGGAACTCAGGCTGGGTGAGGTGGCTCATGCCTGCAATCCTGGCACTTTGGGAGGCCAAGGTAAATGGATCACCTAAGATCAGGAGTTCCAGACCAGCCTGGTCAACATGGTGAAACCCCATATCTACTAAAAATACAAAAATTACCTGGGCATGGTGGTGGGTGCCTGTAATCCCAGCTACTCGGGAGGCAGAGGAAGAGAATTGCTTGAACCTGGGAGGCAAGATTGCTTGGAGTGAGCCGAGATGGTGTCGCTGGACTCTAGCCTGGGTGACAGAGCAAGACTCTGTCTCAAAAACAAAAAAAACAAAAACTAGTCAGGTATGGTGGCAGCATGTGCCTGTGGTCCCAGCTACATGGGAGGCTGAGGCAGGAGCGTTGCTTGAACACAGTTGTTTGAGGCTGTGGTGAGCTGTGGTCACATCACTGCACTCCAGCCTCAGCAGCAGAGCGAGACCCTGCCTCTCATACATAAATAAGTACCTAAAAGATAAAGACAGTTCCCTCCACCACCGCCGCCCCCACCAATTCTTATTCCTAATGAGTCTGGATGGAAGGCCTCTTCCCTGCCCACCTCTGCCCTGCCTGGGCAATGCCAGCCCCACGGCTTATCCCCAGGGCTGCTGTCACTGAACAGCCAGGCTGCCCTGGTGCAACTGAGGAGCGGCTCAGCAGGTTTTTCCTCTCAGCCAGCCTGTCCTCTCCCCCGCCTCACCAGGGCCCGGCCCTCCCAAACTCGCCTTCTCCTCTCTGCTGTGCTCAGCCGGCTGGTGGCGGGCACCGAGACAAGATGCCCAGCATCTTTGCCTATCAGAGCTCTGAGTTGGACTGGTGTGAGACCAACTTCCAGTACTCGGAGCTGGTGGCTGAGTTCTACAATACGGTGAGCGCGAGGGTAGGTGGAGGAGTCTCTCCAGATGCCGGTTCGAATCCCAGTTCCTCCCCATTGATCCTTACTGGGGAATCTTGCTGGAGAGGCTCGCCCGTCTGAACCCTAGTTTTCTCATCTATTGGCCAAAGACTGTCAGCTCTCATTCATTGACTTGTCTTTACTTGATGCCAGGCTCTGCGGTAGGTTTTGGAGACACATCGATGGCCAGGAAAAGAACCGGTTTTTGCTTTCCCTAAACTAACGCTGATGTAACTGCAGGCATTTCCAACCTGGGGTGATGGTGCTTTCACCGCGGGGGCGGGGGGGCCGCAGAGGTAGCTGTGGTTTGGGGAGGGAGAGGAGGCCCCTGAGCTAGAGGGGGTGGGTCAATCAGGAAAGGCTTCCTGGAAGAGGTGACTCTATCTGTCTTGTTCACAGCTGTACCCTCTGACCAACTTGTCCCGGTTTGCCTGGGACTGTCCTGGTTTCTGTATTTACAAAGTTCCGGCTGGGCATGGTGGTTCATACTTGTAATCTCAGCAATTTGGGAGGCCAACGCAGGTGCATCACTTAAGGTCAGGAGTTCAAGACCAGACTGACCAAGGTGGTGAAACCCTGTGTGTACTAAAAATAAAAAAATTAGCCAGGCATGGTGGCAGGCGTCTGTAATCTCAGCTACTCGGGAGGCTGAGGAAGGAGAACTGCTTGAACTTGGGAAGTGGAGATTTCAGTAGGCTGAGATTGTGCCACTGCACTCCAGCCTGGGCAGGAAGAGAGAAACTGTCTTAAAACAAAAGAAAACAAAGTTCACCTCTTGGCCGGGTGCGGTGGCTTATGTGTGTTATCCCAGCACTTTGGGAGGCAATGGAGGGTGGATTGCCTGAGCTCAGGAGTTCGAGGTCACCCTGGGCAACATGGTGAAAGCCTGTCTCTACTATACAAACAATTAGCTGGTGTGGTGTTAGGCATCTGTAGTCCAAGCTGCTCAGGAGGCTGAGGCAGGAGAATCATTTGAACACAGGAGGTGGAGGTTGTAGTGAGCTGAGATCATGCCACTGCACTCCAGCCTGGGCAAAAGATCAAGACTGTCAGGAGGCTGAGGCAGGAGAATTGCCTGAACCCAGGAGGCGGAGGTTGCGGTGAGCCGAGATCGTGCCATTGCACTCCAGCCTGGGTGACAAGAGTGAAACTCCGTCTCAAAAAAAAAAAAAAAAAAAAAAAAAAAAGATCAAGACTGTCTCAAAAAGAAAAAAAAAAGTCCCACCTCTTGGGAAACCCCTTGGTTCCAGGCATTCCTGGATGGTTTTCTTTTTCCTGTTAAAACACCACATGGGGTGTGGGTGCTCATCTGTAATCCCAGCACTTGGGAGGCCGAGGCAGGTGGATCACGAAGTCAAGAGATCGAGACCATCCTGGTCAACATGGTGAAACCCCGTCTCTACTAAAAATACAAAAAATTAGCTGGGCATGGTGGTGTGTGCCTGTAATCCCAGCTACTCAGGAGGCTGAGGGAGGAGAATTGCCTGGACCCAGGAGGCGGAGGTTGCAGTGAGCCAAGATCGCGCCATTGCACTCCAGCCTGGGTAACAAGAGCGAAACTCTGTCTCAAAAAAAAAAACAAAAAAACACCACATGGGATGCGGGTGCTCATGCCTGTAATCCCAGTTACTTGGGAGGCTGAGGCAGGAGAATCACTTGAACCTGGGAGATGGAGGCTGCAGTGAGCTGAGATCATGACACTGCCTTCCAGCCTATGTGACAGAGCAAGACTCCATCTCAAAAAAAAAAAAAAAAGAAAGAAAAACCACCACATGGAAAGTGCTCACAAATCATGGATGTACCTAGCGCCACAGCTTATACCTGTAAACACAGCACTTTGGAAGGCAGAGGCAGGAGGATCACTTGAGCCCAGGAGTTCCAGACCAGCCCAGGCAACATAGCAAGACCCTGTCTCTACAAAAAGATTTTGTTTTTGTTTTTGTTTTGAAATGGAGTCTCACTCTGTCACCCAGGCTGGAGTGCAGTGGTGCAATCTTGGCTCACTGCAACCTCTACCTCCCGGGTTCAAGTGATTCTCCTGTCTCAGACTTCTGAGTAGCTGGGATTACAGGTGTGCACCACCATGCCTGGCTAATTTTTGTATTTTTAATAGAGATGGGGTTTTACCATGTTGGTCAGACTGGTCTCGAACTCCTGACCTTGTGATCTGCCCACCTTGGCCTCCCAAAGTGCTGGAATTACAGGCATAAGCCACTGTGCCTGCCTTACAATAAGTTTTTTAGGCTGGGTGTGGTGGCTCACGCCTGTAATCCAAACACTTTGGAGGCCAAGGCAGGTGGATCACCTGAGGTCGGGAGTTCAAGACCAGCCTGACCAACATGGTGAAACCCCATTTAAAAAAAAAAAAAGGTTTAAAAAAATTAGCCAGGTGAGCTAGTGCATTCTTGTAGTTCCAGCTACTTGGGAGGCTGAGGTGGGAGGATTGCTTGAGCCCAAGAAGTGGAGGCTGCAGTGAGCCAAGATCGCAATACTGCACTCTAGCCTGGGTGACAGAGGGAGACCCTGTCCCCCCCCAAAAAAAAGTGGATGCATAAATGATAATGGCATTTAACCGAAGCTTGAAAGCCAAAGATTGGTGCAGTTGGCCATGCCCATTCTGGGTGCTGGGAACACAGTGGTGCTTGCCTGGAGCCCTGGGGATGATGGCATCCAGAAGGACTGCTTAGTTCCATGCCCTGCTCATAGCTTGCTGTGTACTAGGTACCCTAAACATTTCACATGAAACATCTCCTTTAATCGGCACGCTGACATTGGGAGTTAGATGCAATCTACATGATAGAGACTTCGTCCCATTTTTCAGGTGATGAAACAGGTGTTTGGGAATTTGAAGGCTGTACCCAGGGTCACTCTGGTTGTTAGAGCCAGGATTTAAACTTGGGGTGAGTCCAGGAGACTTTTTTGGGAGGAGGGTTGGAGGCTCAGTTCCAGGGCGCTCAGGTTGCCCCAACCCTGTTACCTTGGACCCCAGGGCTTCCCATAGCTGGGAGATGGGATTAGGAGATTCCGGGATCCACATGGTCTCACTGATTCTTGCTCTTCCGTGGCCAGAGATATGGTTTCTGTCCTCAGTAGTTCCACCTCTAAAATGGGAGGGAGCGGAATGATTGATCCTCAGAGGCTGAGATGATGGGTAAGGGTTCTGGAGCCCTTCTCTCTGGAATCCCCAGAGGCCCCTGTGGTCCATTGTTCCCTTTCCTTCCCCGTGCCAGGTGAGAGCCCCCACAGAACACATTGAGAGGCCATGTGTTGTGACTCTCCCCTTTAATCTAGCACTTTGGAAGGTCGGGACAGGAGGATCACTTGAGGCCAGGAGTTTAAGAGCAGCCTGGGCAACATAGCAAGACCCAGTCTCTAAACAAAATTTAAAAACTAGCTGTGGGCTGGATGCTGTCTTATGCCTGTAATCCCAGCACTTTGGGAGACCAAGGCAGGTAGATCACTTGAGGTTAGGAGTTCGAGACCAGCCTGGTCAACTTGGTGAAACCCCATCTCTACTAAAAATACAAAAATTAGCTGGGCGTGATGGCGCACACCTATCATCCTGCTACTTGGAAGGCTGAGGCATGAGAATCACTTAAATCTGGGATGTGGAGGTTGCAGTGAGCCGAGATCACGCCACTGCACTCCAGCCTGGGTGACAGAGTGAGACTTCGTCTCAAAAAATAAAGAAATTCAATTCAATTAAAAACTAGCTGGTAGGCTGAGGCAGGAGGATTGCTTGAGTCCAGGAGTTTGAAGCTGTGGTCATCCGTTACTGTACCACCGGACTCCAGCCTGGGCAACAGAGTGAGATCCTGTCTCTAAAAAATAAAAGGCACCTAGAAAGTGCTGATTCAGGTGTGAGCTGAGCCTGAGTAGAGCCGTGTGTTCTTATCACATGTAAAATTGTCCTCCACTGGATTCTCTGCAGCCTGTCCCCAAGTAAAATAAATTGAGCCACCTGTAGCTACCTGGTAAGGCTGCGGGTCTCACACTCCTCTGATCACAGCATCTATTAGGAAAGAGATTTTACATCATGATCACCCTGTACCTGCCTTTCCAGATGTGTATCACACAGAAACAGAAGTTGCACAAAACGAGACTTACCTTTCCCTGGTGCAAACACACTTGGAAACTTTCTATTCTATTCTGTCAAAAAAAATCTCTCTCTAAACAGGTCAGGGGATGAGGAATAGAACGAGAGTTGTGTGAGAGAGGGCTTCCCCAAGACTTTCTCCTCCAAAACACTTCTGAGTATCCCAAAGCTAATGAATCCCAAGCTAATAAATCATACACTTCAAAAGGGTAGGGTGGGTGGCTAATTTTTTCTTTCATTTTTGTTTTGGTTTTTTTTGAGATGGAGTCTCACTCTGTTGCACAGGCTGGAGTGCAGTGGCGCAATCTCACTGCAACTTCCGCCTCTTGGGTTCAAGTAATTCTCCTGCCTCAGCCTCCTGAGTAGCTGGGGTTACAGGCGCACACCACCATGCCCAGCTAATTTTTGTATTTTTAGTAGATTTCATCATGTTGGCCAGGCTGGTCTCGAATTCCTGACCTTGTGATTTCACCTGCCTCGGCCTCCAAAAGTGTTGGGATTACAGGCGTAAGCCACCATGCATGGCCCTTGTTTTTGTGTTTTTTTTTTTAGAGACACAGTCTTACTCTGTTGCTCAGCCTGGAGTGCAGTGGTGCCATCATAGCTCACTGCAGTCTTGACCTCCTGGGCTAAGGTGGTCCTCCTGCCTCAGCCTTCAAAGTAGCTGGGACCACAGGTGCATACCACCAGAGTTAATTTTTAAATTTTTTATACAGATGGATGCTGTGTACAGTGGCTCACACCTGTAATCCCAGCACTTTGGGAGGCCGAGGTGGGCCGATCACTTGAGCTCAGGAGTTCAAGACCAGCCTGGGCAACTGGTCTTGAAATCCCATCTCTATCAAAATAAAAAAAAAAAAATTAGCCAGGTATGGTG